TTTTCCATCCAGAGTCTTTATTCAGATACAGACCCTGATGATTTTGCTCCTAGGCTGTAGCTGTGATCTTCTTTGCCTCTAGTCTTCCCCCTTTTCTAAACATCCCTGCATGATGACTTTTCCCAAATTTTCCTCTTCGCTGGAGAGAGATCAACAGTAATGCAGGGTGCTAATTGGATCAGGCCCGGCTTCCCTCACCAGCTACTCAGACTCTGAGATTGGCTCCTCAGCAATCTCAACACTTCTTAGCTTTTCCGGATCATGGCCTTTGAAGAAAAGAGACTGCTTCTAGCAAGGAACTACCAGGGGCCCCGGTGGCTTTGGTGGCTCCTGCTGCCCCAGCCCCAACCAGCCACTAGGAGGTCTGAAGGGATCAGTATGTGCTGTAACCCATTTTGAATACATTTTGGGGAGCTCTGAACTATCAAATGTTGATTCCGTTGCTCTCCAGCGAAGTTTTGAATTGACCTAAGCTGTTTTCTTCATGTGCAACTCAGGTTCCTTTTCACGGATATTAGTACATGTTGTAAATATTTGAGGTAGGTAAGGGTTGGCTGCTCAGCCACAACGTCACTCCCAGGTTTTAAGGAAATCAAGTTTCAGGCCACATTTTGCCATTCACCAGCAAGCCCCCTAAAGGGTTCTCACAATTGGTTTTGTAAGCTCAAGGAACTCCTTGCTCTCTGTCCTTCTAGGTGAATGAAAGTCCACTGGAAGCAGATGTGCTAAATTCCAATGGCAATTTTCTTGTACACTTGGACTTGGCATTAGGAAGCTCACTAGATATAGAACTGGTGAGGGATTTAGCTTACACCCAGGCCTAGCTAGAATCTTCCTATTCATGCAAGAGTGGGGAGTACATCTAAAATATTTTAGCCACTCTCTGTGTGCTTAAATACCTTGACCTTCACCAGTGAAATCCTGTTTCTAACATGCATCATAACTGTCAACAGGTGACTATTTTTCCCTGATAATAGCCTCATTTTGGGCATTTACCTGGCTCATATTGATCTATACTTAGATACAGATAACAGAAATGCATCCAGCAGCTGCCTCTGGCATCCTGAATCCAATGCTGCCAGAACCTCTCAGCAGTGGGCATCCTGGGTCAGAATGCCAGCTGACCACCTGGGACGTAGTATCCCAGCAATAATATTGTATGGTACGTGCCGAAGAATTTTAGGTAAATTTATTTTAGGTATGTTTTAGAAATCGTAACAACACAGTTGGCAAACTAGTTTTGCAGGCTAAATCAGGCAGGCGGAATTGCTTTTCCACTTGAAAAAAAAAAAATGAACTTATTGCCAACAACAACAGAAAAAGAGGTTTTACATAAAAATCTTGATGTTTGGCTTTCTCTGGGAAAATTGGGACATCTGCAACACCCGATCTACATTCCTCTGTGGCAACTTTTCTTTTCCAGCTGAGTAGCAGAAGCCTGTTTTAGACCTGGGGTGGGAGGGCTCTGAGAATGGGCTCTTGGGAAGCACCCTGCACTTCCTAACATCCCCCTGCGCTGAGCCTTTAATCACTGAGATTGTGCTGTTGGTTTCCAGGATCCTCTCCCCCCTTTATTATCCTGCCTGGCCCCTGTAGGTACTTGAGTTTTTGACCCTTGCAGCTGTCAGGCAGTTTTTCTTGTTGGCTCAACACTTGTGCTTTGCTCATGCTGTTTCTTTGGAATGTCATTTCCTTTCGGCCTTGCCTGTCCAAATCTTAACCTCATCACCCCAGGCCAGGCCCAAGGCCCCGTTGGATGCGGAGTCTCTCATGGCTGTTATGGTCCTAGCTCCTCTGCTCCTACACGGACAGCATGGCGTAGCATTTGATTTTACACATTGTTCTATTGTTCAGTGTTTCATGGTTTCTTTCTCCTACATGGTAATATGTTTCCTTAAGGTCAGGAAACGTATCTTTCTCACATTGTGTATTTATCACTGTGAAATGGTAACGCTCAGCCTAGTTACCTCATTTTTTTAAAAGGCAGAGAACAATACCTTATTGATCTACCTAGCAGTTATTGCAAAGCATATTTGTATGTGGTGAAAAGAAGGACAGTGTTATGACTATGAAAGTAATATAAAAATAGGTGTAACCAACAGGCCTGATAAGAACACAGAGGTCCAGAAAGGGTAAGTGCCTTGCTGAAGTCACACGGTTGGCAGAGAGCCTCGTCCTTGCTCTAACCACTGAGACACCTGTCCTTGCCAGTTCGGACTGTGCTGTTTTCTGGAGGACCTGCTACCCTCCGCAGGGCCAGACCCTGCAGATCCCCCTTAAGGCTTAGCATTCACATATCAAAATAAAACAATTCCCGAAGTTACTTAAATAGTACACCACAAATTAGGCAAAGGTGTGGGTGCCCGTCAGACTGCCCACACCCTGACACGAAGGGGGGCTGTGAAAGAGCCCCAAGACACCAAGAGTCAAGATGGCAGAGATGCCTTCCTCAAGCAGAACGCCCTCTGCTGCCGGCCTGTCCTCAGTGGGGGAGCAGGTGGACTGGCCTGGACTGGGCTGGACGGCGGCGGGGCGCTGGGCGCAGGGGCAGCAGCGCCGGGCAAGGGGTAACGAGTGCGAGTTTGGCGGGGCTGGCGCAAGGCCTGCTCCCTAGAGCGGCGGCCAGCGAGGCCGCGGGGAACAGGAGTCCCGCTGTGCCCAGGGAGACTGACCCTGTCCTGGGGAGCAGGCTGCCTTTGGAGACTGTAGGGGAGGGGCCCGGCCTGGCTGCTGGAGCCTGGCTCGTGGCTCGTGGCTCGTGGCTCGTGGCTCGTGGCTCGTGGCTCTGGGGAAAGCAGGGAGGTGGTGACTCAGGAGGCCGCCACAGGAATCTTGGCTTAACCCAAGGCAGTGGCCGTGGGGAAGGAGAGAAGTGGATGGATTCAAAAGACGTGAGAGCCTTTTTAAAACGTTACAGGATGACAGCACTCTTTCTGGGGTAAGATGCAGTTATTCCCGGAGACAGGAAGCGGGCCTGGCTAGCTTATGTGCAGCCTTTGATTCCACGTTTCCGGAGAAATGCTCGCTGCTTCTGACGTGGGCCTCTGGCTCCACTCCCTCTGGCCTTATAGATGGATCCTTTAGGAAACAAGGGTGCTTTTCACTGTTCCTGCTCGGCCACCACCTCCTCACTGTCATATGTAAGCTGCCTCCACAGCATATACCAGTTTTCCTGTTTACACAAGCACACCATGTACTTTGGTCAAAAGGTCCTGCTTCTCAGTACATATAAGTCTTTCTGGATACACATTAGCCATACATAGGAGCAAATTGTGTATTTATTCTGGAGTCGTCAGTTGTGAGTAGATGTTAAGAGTGGTGTTTTCTGCGTATGGAATTTTTTGCTTTGAGTTTTAGATGTTTAACCATCTGTTTATGACTTTAAAGTGAGTGCTCTAAGTGGAGGCTATGAATAACTATGTGAATCATGAAAGATATATTGAAGGGGTATTGTCAGTAATGAATGGCTACTATACATCTTACTTAGCTGTTTTTGCAGCTTTAAAAAGGTCTAATGTAACTAGATGCTATTTTTAAGGAATTTTTAAAACTCTGATATTATAGATTTTAAAATCTGGATTATATCATTTAGAAAGAGACTTTGGGGTTGCTTTAACCACATTTAAAATAATCTGTTTTATCTTAAAGCAATTTTTACCCATGCCCTTAATTATTTACAGATGATATGTATTTATGTACTATTATGTTACAGAATTATTTTAATAAAAATGTTGGATTCATTGTTGAGCTTTTCAGAAATATGCAAGTAATATTGTCTTTTCCTCCAGCCAAACAAATGAGTCAATTTACCTAGCTCTTCCATAAGAGGATGAATTCTATCTTCTCCTCTCTGTAGGTGACTACTGGTTCATGGGTTCTGGAGATTTTTTTTCCGCAAAGCTTCATTTTTCTGACCGCAATATAAAAATTCAAAGAGTTGTAGAGTTGGGTACATATGTGCAAATTAAACTTTATAGCATTTTATTTATTTTTTAAAAGATTTTAAAATTGATTTTTAGAGAGAGAGGAAGGGAGATGGAAAAAGAGAAATATCAGTGTGAGAGCGAAACATCGATTGGCTGTCTCCTGTCCTGCATGCCTGGGACGATGCCCATCAAACTGAGCCACACTGGCCAGGGCTATAGCATTTTGAAAATATACTTCTCCATATTAATATAAGAGTAGCAGTTGGAACAAAGACTCCATTTGTCAATTTTATTCCTTTTGTTGTAGTTGGCATCCCCTGGGAGTTGAGTACTGGACGTTGTTCTTTGGTAATTGCTGACATCCTGGCAGTCAACAAAGGAGGAGAATTATGAGAGCAATTTGTAGGGCCTCACAGTGCATAGTCTGCTGCGGGGTTCTGAGGTGTCGACTGCTCTTTTTATTATTACTCACTGGCTTACTGTGGAGCTGTCCTTGACTTGGCTCTTACTGACAGGTCTATACTAGCCCTGAGCAGTTGATACTTACTAATTATAACCTTTAGTAAAAACTTAAGAAATGAGTGTATTAATAATCATTGGGTATTTCTTTCTCTACACATACAAACATTAATTTTGCATCTATGCATGTATGTATATACAATATGACTAATTAATTCATTTTTTCACAGAAAGAACTTCTAATGTATAATAGATATGAAGAACAGTATTACTTCATTCCATCTATACACAGGAAAATTGTCCAGAGAGCAAACATTGACAAAAAAACCAACCTTTGTGGATTGAGCTTTTCCTTTGTGTTCAATCAGTACATGTAGACAAACCTAGGCATGCTGGCTCCAAGTACCTGGGTGTGTGATGTGCCATTATGGTTTTGGCCAAAGCGTTAGAAAACACTGTTTAAGCAAGGGCATGGGGATGTGGAAGGCGGATGTTATCCATCCTTTGTTAAAAAAGAAAATCCAGGTCACCAGGAAAAGAGATGTTCATGAAGTCAGAATTTGTAAGCAATAATGTCTTACATAAAATAAGGGTGATTTTTTTTTTCTCTTTCAGATTTTGGGGTAAGTGCGTTCTTAGCAACAGGGGGTGATGTTACCCGGAATAAAGTTAGAAAAACATTTGTTGGCACCCCGTGTTGGATGGCCCCCGAAGTCATGGAACAGGTAAAAAAGAAAGCAGTGATTTGATTGACATAGTACAGTAATGCATATTATTAATATGCTAACATTTCATTCAGATCAACCATTTTACTAGTATGCATCATGTAGCTAAAGTTTAATTCCCATTTGCTGGGTCTTGACACACTAATGTCAAAGTTCTGCACACACAGCTGTGGACTTACCACGCAATGCGGACTTCACGAAGTGTGACTTGCCTGCTATCTAATGTGTTTTCTCCTGGTTCCTTTCTTAGGTGAGAGGCTATGACTTCAAGGCTGACATGTGGAGTTTCGGAATAACTGCCATTGAATTAGCAACAGGAGCAGCGCCTTATCACAAATATCCTCCCATGAAAGTAATTACTCTTGGAAATAATGCGTCGGTTTGAAATACGGTTGAACGGAATCTATTCTGTAGTTCTCCTAAACATAGTCATTTTTCTCTTAGACCTGAGGAAAGTTAGTGGGGGAATGCAGCCAAGTTAAATGTTGTCCAATGTTCTCAGTGGACAGAGCAGGACAAAACATAGTACAATGCCCAGCTTTGAAGCTTGCTTTACAGTCTCAGCACAGATTGGTCAATGGGGGTTGATAGCTGTGACAAATGCTGGCTATCACTCTTTTGGTAGCAGGCTATCCCCAGCACCCCAAGGAAAATCTACAACTAGGTTATAGTGATATCATTTTTGGAGATGGATTCCCTAATTTTCAGGCCTTTTTTTTTTTTTAAGAAATGGTCTATAATATTTTACCCATTTCCACAGTGTCATGTTGGTGACTCATTTGAAATAAGCAAGCCCAGTATTTTTAGGAAACAACATACATTTGAATACTATTTTCAGATTTTTGTGATTCTTGTAACTGGCCTACATCATTATGTCTCTTAGTTTTTGAGATAGTGGTATCAGGGTGAATTTACCCAACTAGATTTTGTTTTGAGGCTGAAGTAGTTGAATGGAAATTATGAAGTTATTTTACAGAGAATATGGTCCATGTTTATTTCAACTTTTTCCTAGGAAAATATTGGAAAAATTTAGGAGGATTTTTTACATAAACCCTGAGGATAAAAGGTTAAATGTTTTTACTGATTAAAAAGTCAATATATGCTAATTGTTGAAAACCTGGAAGTATAAATAAGAATAAAGAAGAAAATAATCATTTATAATCTAATCAACCACAGATAATCCCTGTTCAGGTTTTAGTATAGTTCATTACATTGGTTTTCTCTGCACATATGTATATATGTTTTAATATAATTAAGATTTTTGTGTGCGTGTGTGTGTATACATACCTGATTTTGTTAGTAAGTTGAAGTGTAAACAATTGAATTGCCCTTTCAAAGGAAACGCGCTGAAGCAACTTCAAGGATTTTTTCTTCCATTTGGTTTTTCTGTATTATTTTTTTCTTATTTCTTATTTTCTTTCTTTCCCTATTAGTGTTTCCCACCTGCCTGCAGACTCACCTTGCTAATCCCAGTCTGAAGTCCTGAGGACTTTTCTTTAGACTTTGCAGTTCTCCCACTTCTGTTTGCTATTGTCCTCCACAAACAATAAGTTGTCACTTTAATCCTTCACCTATTCACACATCTGAAAGCGTTTGAGAGGTGGCTTGGCATGTATAGTATTTGCATAAATAAAGGCTGATGTATGCAGTAATGAGCTCTATTCATTGTATAGGTCAGTAGTTTACTACAAATTCTTTTTCTTAAATCATTTTGATGTGTGACAGAGTGGAATTTTTACCTTTTTGATTTGAAGCCGTATTTTGATTTTGTTTTGCTCCCCTTCAAGATTAGCATGGCCTTTTGCTCTGGTTATGGTTTTTAGCAGCCTGGCTATATTCTGGCTATCTTTCAGTGTCTGTAACTCTGTCAGTTTTGCCAAGCCTTTAAGCAACTTTCTGTATGTTTTTTTCACTTAAAAAAAAAAAGGAAATCATGTGTTTCTCTCTGGGATGTTGTGAATATATTTTTAGGGTTGGTAGTGCTACCAAAGCCTCGAGTCCAGGCGGTCCCTTGCTTATGAATGACGGGTACGCGCGCACTCGCTGCTGCCCTGGGCCTCTGCCTCGCCCCCTCCGCGCGCCCTTTTGCAGCCAGAGCCCGTCTTCCCTCGGGCCGGGCTGGGGCTACGTGCTCCAGAGGCCGCGTGGGAGCCAGTTCCCAGGAAGCTCTGTTCCCGTGACTTTGGGAGATCATTCTTAACACGTAGAGCAGATTTTGTAAGTTCTGCTCATGGAATAACAAAAATGTTAAAGGGCACGTGAACGAATTTGCAAAGAGAAATGAATACTTTAAATACACATGTTCTGCAAAGTTGCAGTCATAGGAAAGCACGTTTGTACCTAATCAACGTTGGTCTCCGATGCTTCCGCAGAAAATGAAAAACCCAGTTGTAGCAATTGCTTTCCTGAGGTTCCCCCTCTCTGTTTATTTCCGCTGCAGGTGTTAATGTTGACTTTGCAGAATGACCCACCCACTTTAGAAACAGGAGTAGAGGACAAGGAGATGATGAAGAAGTATGGCAAGTCCTTTAGGAAATTACTTTCACTGTGTCTGCAGAAAGATCCTTCCAAAAGGTATGTCAAACCTGGCGGATGAGTTACTGACCTGGGCTGAGTCACCACGAAGCTTTGTTTGCGGAGGGGAAAGGCCCTGGGAGGGCACCTGCTAGCTCAAGGGAAATGCTGCTCCTGCCCCCAGGTTTCCAGCCTGCTAGTGGGAGACAGCGCGGGTTCAGAGGGAGAGAAGCAGACGGGGACAGGGGAGAGGCGGAGGAAAGTTTTAGTGTTAGTAAGATTCACTGTGCGTGTGAGGTGTGGGCTCTGTCATCAAAGGAAATGAAGTAAAGCGGAAATCAAAAGAAATCGGCAGTGGTGCGTTCAGAAGCTGAGCTAACATTCTGCACTGTGTAGGTTGAGCTGACCTCTCAGGATTTGAATATCCTGCCAGCTCCAGTAGAAACCAGGCAGAGCTATTGAATTTTACATGAGCTTCCTTTTAGTTGCAGAACAAGTTGTTTTTGCCATTTAAAAGATTATTAGTAAAGAAGATTAATATTTTTGCATTAGAAGGATGAATCATATAAACAGAAGTAAAGTGTTTTAAACTGACTTCAGAATTTCCTCTTTATTCCTGGGGGATTGCCCCCATACTATAGTGTGTCTGTTTTCTGAGTTTGTTTCTTCCTTCTTAATTTCTGTGACTTTGCAATATCTTGAGTGGGAATCACAGAGCAGGTGTCCTTTATCACTTAAAGGAGAATGTTACCGGCCTGGGTAGAGTCTCTTTGTAGGGCCTGCCTGTGTATGCACCATCCTGACACAGTGCACGTAAGTTACAGACCTGGAGAGGACTCTGAAAAGTTTCCTGCTTACCCTCATCTGCCCTAGGGTCCAATTTGATACTTATATTTTAAAACATAAAAACTAGCTTCTCTTCTGAAACTTGCTTTTTCAGGGAAGGACCCTGCTTTTTGAAGAATTCCTTTATTCTTATGTTAACGTTCTTTATGAAACTTAAGCCTTTTACCTTTACACAGTGATCTCCTGTTTGAGGAGGCTACCCTTCTCCACAGTAAACACAGTCGACTTTATTGTACCCATTCTTTGTAGCTACTCTCTTCATTCCTTTACTTTTCACTGAATTTGCCTTCAGTCTTTCCTGTATCAGTCACCTTTCTCCTGGAGTCAGGTCTAAAGACTGTTCGCTGTTAAGCATCTTGAGATGATTTATTGTAAAAGGGGTGATTATTTTGTCACATTTACAGATTGTTTCTGCTTAAACATCCTAGTTGCCCTTTGTATTTAATTTGTAAGGCTTGTTTTTCCTCCGAAGTTATACTGATCTTTTCATTAAGATTACTTCTTTACTCTGCAATTGGGTGAAACTGCTCTAATATTCTAATTTTGTTTTGCGACACTTGCTTGCCTTCCCCTTGTATTTGGTGTCATCTCCAAACATAAATTTTTGGCAACACCAAGGAAACAGAATTTAATCCTTCAAAGCCCAGTGAGAGAAGTACTTGTCTTTCCAGTTAGCACTGTGTTACTACTGATGGTCTTTGTGATTCTTGAGTTAGTTGAGATCCCACCTAGTGGTAATGCTGTGTAATGTCACACAATTCCAGCGCTCAGAAAATGATTCTGTAGGTAGAACTGTTAGTGTGCTTAATGATGTAGCAATATCATTCTTTAGAAGATTTGTAATTTAGTTTGAATAAATTAGATTAGATGATCATACATTATACTTAAAAAACCATCCTTATTTCTTAATAATCTTGAAAATCCTTCCAGGTTTTATTTATTTTATGAACTCAAATATCAGGTTCCCACTACCTCACCCCCACCCCCAAATTTTTAGAAAAGAGCCATACTCTTAAATTTTTACAAAGTCTTTTCCCTCAGAGTTCTCTTTTAGTGACATTATTGATCCACAAAGTATTAATAGTTTAAGGACTTCTTTTAGATATTTTCTCTCTGTCATAATCTATTGTCACTATTGTACAATTGTCCTCTGTAACAGAGTGTTGGTGGTGCACAAATTTCCCACATGACTCTTTCTTTTAGTGAAAAGACGTAGGTGTGGGAAGTTTGGGGGAAAAAGCTTCATGGAATGTGAGAATGGAAAAAAGACAATATCGTTAAGTTATTTCTTATATAGATGCAGTTTTAAAATGTGTTCATTCCTGAATTAATAAGTAAACACTAGATTGCTGCACAACTGAAAAAAAACATGAATGTTTCCTGCCTTCTCCAGCTTTGCTTATGTTGTCCAAGGGTTCTTCCTTTCCCTCTGTTCCCCCTCCATCTGTCTTTCAACACTTAATTCAAAGGCTCCTCCTTCTTAGAGTTAGATACCCCTGGGAAAATTCCTACCTCTGCTTTATCATCTCCTGCATGACTTAGTTTCCTTGTCTGTGAAATGGGGCTAACAACATCTACTTCATAGGATTGCTGTGAGGGTGGAGTAAGATAATACACTTAGAACAGATAGCACAGTGCCTGGGGTTCCTAAATATTCAAGAAATTGGGATTGCCCTTCATTATCTGCCTTTTCTTCCTGACCAAATGGAGTTTTTGCAAATTTTAGTTATCCTACTGTATGTTGAATATATATGTCTCTTGTAGCACTTACTACACTGTGTACATATATTGACTTACATAACAGATTTCCTCCTGAGTTTGTAAGTTTTTTAGAAAGAGAGCCTGTGGCCACTCATCTTTATATCTTTCTATCCACAGTGTCTGGTGTGTCTTACATACTCGGGTATTTCTTGAATAGCTGGAGACAACGGGGTGTTTGCAATTGGGGATGACTTTGACTCATATAATTTATGTTTATGCTTGTTGCCTGCATATAGATTATATACCTGTAATCTGAAAGCAGATGAATGGTAACAAAGCCTTGGCCTTGCTCAGTGCATTTTTAGCGGTGAATGAAAACATAGCACAGGGGAACAGGGACCAGGACAGGTTCATGCCTGTGCAGGAGTCCTCAGGCTAGCTGAGAAGGGGTATGCTTTCTCTCAACCTTTTTTTCTAAAAAGAGAGCTGGTGTGTTGGAGCTATTTGCCTTATTTGAGTCTGTGTGCTCTGCAAAGGCATAGACGACGAATTACTTACATTTACATAGCCGAACATTTTGCTATTTCTTTAAAAAAAAGCCTTAATCTTGTCAATTACATGCTCCCTATGGATGGAAACTATAAAAGGAACCGGCATTTTCTTTGAGCAGCAAGGGAGTGGATGTTGCATAGATAAATCCATCAGAAATGAATAAAACTTAAATATTTCATTGGGGAGGGTGGGGAAACACAGCTCTGCCTGAGGTCAGTGAGCTATTAGGAATTATAATGCAGATTGTTAGAGCTACTTGAACTTTGTCGTATTCCTCCTGAATCCTTGGAAAATTATTTTAAGTCTCAGTGGATTTTGGTTCATCCATATGTATTAACTGAACACTTTAACAGATTTTCTTCTGAGAATGTTGGTATTTGCAGACTGCCGCGTTGTTTTCCAGGATTTGAAATTGAATCATCATTCAAAGCCGGGCCCATTATTTTGGTTGCTGGTAGAACATTTCTCATAAAACAGCGTTTGTAGCTGTGCTCCATTGTGTTGCCCGATGATGGGCAGCAGCCGTGGAAGATAGAACCGTGCCTGCAGAATTCTTGCTCCTGTGGTACTTAGCTAAGAGGCAGGCAGCGGCGATGGCTCCACATGACCCCTGCGCTGGCATTTGCAGTGGCGTACAACTAAAACAAACACCAAAACACAGACACCCCAAGGCAGGTGGGCAGCACGCGCCTCAGCTTTTCTCGTACCTGCGATCACTTTCTTCTGTCTCACCTTCCTCATTCTTTCCATACTTTCTCCTGGGGTCAGTTTGGCACATGGATTTGACTCCAAAGCTATAGACACCTGAGCTAACTTGAGCACCCAAAGGACCTGCTGTGTCATTCTCTGTATCGAGTAGAATTCACCTGTTAGTTAATATAAATATTAAGCCTATAGAAAAAGAAAGTGGGTTTTTTAGACCCTTTCTCAGTTCCCATGCTATTACATTTTGTGTCTATTGATGAAGGCTGAGAGTGGAGTGCAGAGAAAGGAGTTTTCCCTGCAGCCTGCTTTCCCCTTTATAGTTCGGTTACCATGGAAGTGACCTTGCTGGGGAAGGGAAAGTATTTTCCCAGCCCCGAATCTCAAGGTATGTCTGGCATTTCCCAGCCTTCTCTCTACATTGGTCCTACACTCGACCCTTAGTGTGCAGGAGGAGGAGGTGGGGGGTACAGAGGAGAGACGAGGCATTTTGGCTCTTCACCTCAGTGCATTCACTGTGAACAGACTTTCCCCCTTTCCTTTTTTGGGGAGATGGGGGGCTAGCATGTGTCTATTTTCATCACATCATTCTGCTGTTTCCTACTGTACTGAGCAGATGCTTAGACTTTAAGTGGTGACTAAGTCTGGCCCAAGGAGTTATAGCTCTGTGTCCGAATGGCTAGTAGCGTTTCTTTCACCCTATATTTTATTGTGGTATGAAATTGAGCTGTAGCTGTTTTCTGCTCTGTGCCAGGCATTGGGTATATAAAGATGAATGCTGTGTGGGTGGTCCCTGTTGTGGAAGGGTTATATCCCAGTGCGGGGGAGGCGGAGAGACGGGAACAGATGTTGCAGAAGGGGGGTGTGGCTGGATTGGTGTGTGGAGCACCAAGTGGGGAGCAGTGAAGTTGACTTGGAGGAGCTGGGAGGAGTGTCTCTGAAGATGCCAGCCATTTAAATTGGCTCTTGGCCTCTGAACAAGGGTGTCCCAGTTATTTACAAACATTTTTAAAGCAAGAAAAGCAGGGTGTGCTCTGTCATGAAAGAGCCAGATGAGTGGTGAGAGCATCATTGTAGCCTGAGGCTAGAGTTCACACAGGATGTGATGGGAAGTGAGGCTGGAGAAGTTGGAGCCACTCAGGCCACTGAGATCCACCAGGATAAATAAGAAATTAGGTCTTTTCAGAGGCCGAGTTTTGGGCAGCTGTGACCATACACACTTTGTACATGGTTGCACTTAGTGACGTTTCCTGATTCTTTTATGTGCTTGGATAGTGGGTTGGAATGAGGAAGAGAGAAGTGGTAGAGATACTAACTGGGAGGCTGTTGTAGTGGTTTCGGCCAGAGGCAATGAGGGTCTAAGCTAAAACAGTGGCCTTGAGTTCCTTCATCATTTTGATTTTCCCTGGTTTCTTTCCACTTTTAAAAAATTCTGCCTAAGTTATCTTGTATGTTTACTGTTTTTTTTTTGTTTTGTTTTGCTTTTGTTTTTTAATGTTGTTTCTTGTTGTGATATACCAGGTCTTGCTCGGTCTCTTGTATAATTAGTGGTTCTCCCACGTGGTCCCTCAGTCACCCTCCCCTTCCACCGGAACACAGTTCCAACACTCCTATTTGCAGTCTAACCTCACACTCTCTCATCTGCTAGATGTAAGTTGCTGAAGGTCAAATTTATATCTGTCCTATTCACTATGGTATGCCGAGCCTGTAGCATCATGCCTGAGGAATAGTAGATGCTCAATAAATACAAATTTACTGAGAATGAAGGGATGAATTTGGAGTAGCTGGAGGCAAAAACATTGCCGATGATGAGTAAAATGCATTAAAATAACAACCAAAGTTCAATCATGTGAAAGTGTTGTCTCATTTTTAGTTCTAGTGCCTGTTTAACAAGGTACACATTCATGAATTTGAATGAGCTTACCAAGGGGTATGGCACACAAAATGTAGATCGTGATCCACCTGTTGTTTAGACCTTTATTTACTCAAAGCAATGAGCAATTAGTGGCTGTTTATTGCACTGGATGTGGCCTTTTGGGGTTCTTTTCAGGTACCTGTAACCAGTGTTCCATTTGAAACTGAGGGAAAGAGCAGGAATAATTTAAATTTCTGTTTCTTTGCACAGAAATGCAGTTGAGAGCCCCGTAGGCTTAGGCAGTTTGTGCATCATTGTACTTAGGGATGTTTCCTAAATCATGTCTATGCTCCACTTTGGCCCCTGGAAACATCTTAATAGAGCTTCCTGGTTCCAAAGAAGTGGTTGCTAACCTCTTCAAATATGAGAATCCTTTTAAACTTGCACTGTCCCCCCAGCATAAGAGTATTTGTACTTTTGCTAATCATTACCTGAGAGAATACCTAGGGATACTCAGTAATGGTTCTTTCCCTCCTCTCATTTTTTTATTATGAAAAAATTTCAAACATACAGAAAAAGGTAAAAAAAAATAGTGTTCACTAATATACCACCACCTAGATTCAACAATTATTAACATTTTTCATATCTGCTATATCTATTCATCTACATTTTGCTTGCTGAACAGTTTGAAAATAAGTAACAGACCTAATACTTCAGCTTGCATTCCATACAAATAGAGACATGTTCTACATAACCACAGTACTTTTCCACATCTAAGAAAATGAACGGTAATTTCCTAAAATTGTCTATTACCTAACATATTCACTTATCTCTAATTATTTCCAAATGTCTTTTGTAGCTTCTCCTCCCCTTTCAGATGCAAGATTCAGGCCAGGGTCACGTGTTGCATTTGGCTTTATGTCTCTTTAGTTTTTTAAAATCTAGAATAGTATCCTCATATCTTCTTCTCTTCTTTGATGCTGATTTTTGGAGATCAGGCCAGGTGTCTTGGTGACTGTCCTATATTCTAGATTTTTTGATTTTCTTTTTCCTGCATTGCTGCTGGTTTTAGAAGGAACTGTTAGTCCACAACTATTCTTTGTGGACTAATGCCAGCTAATAAACAACAGAAGTAGATAATCAGTATTGTGCCACCTCCTATGAAATATTTATTTAAGGCACAGATGCTAAAATCATCAGGTAAAAGGTTTTGGGGAATAAGATATTCATATAATGCCAAAGAATACTTTCCTATTGTAGTAGAGAAATCCCAGGCCTTGGGACCAAGTTGTTAAACTTAGCATCACTCCCAGTGACATTACCTAGCATTATGTGCCTCTGATGTGCTTCAGTAAGATGTACACAGTGTTAGTCATCTGGGTAGTATTTTCCCCCAAATGTGTGATTCAACTTAGTCAAGCTGTCAGATCTGACTTTCAGCTAATAGGAAATATAAGGTGGAGAAACAAGTTAAATGATACCGCGAGGAAACAATCAGATCAATCCAGTGATGCTTTTAAATGAATTTGCATTTTATTAATCACCATCATATTTATCTTCTCCTGAAAATCAGTGGTCCGTGTACACCTAAGACAGGGTTACTTGGGGGTCAGACAGAGCTGCACACGTGGTGTGTGGACCCCTTGCAGTTCCTGCCTCTCTCGGGGCATCTTCGAGCACTGCGGACTGTAGTTTCTTGACAGGGTCGGATTGCAGCTTGGAATAAGTAAATTAGCGCTTCTTAGTAAGTATAGGAATTTAGCTCACAGATGTGCCAGTCTGACACCTTTTAGAAACAGTGCATTCATTTAGTGAAGTGTAAGGATAAAGGATTGAAAATTGATTGCGCCCCAAATGTTTAACTTAGAGGAGTGTGTGTGCTCTGTAGACGAGGAGCTTGGAAAGAACGGGGAAATTGGCACTGTTTTACTTGGTGCTGGCTTGTGATTAATTTAGTGTCTGCTTTTGCTATTCCTAAAACTGGTCTTCCAGAAATACTCTAGGATTAAGTTGTTTCATCAAGGCAGTGTATTTATTGAGTGGTCATTGTTTCAACTCTAATTTATTATTGATCTTTCAGGCCCACAGCAGCAGAACTTTTAAAATGCAAATTCTTCCAGAAAGCCAAGGTAACATGCTTAAAAACCCAAGTAAATCTGCTATTTTGAAATCGCTATGAATTCCTATGTATTGTATCTGATGTTAAAGTGTTGGGAATATTTGTTTTGCAGAACAGAGAGTACCTGATTGAGAAGCTGCTTACGAGAACACCAGACATAGCCCAAAGAGCCAAAAAGGTAAGTGCCATTAGCCCTGCTCACCCAGTTGGAGCTGCTCCCCACCCAGGGACCTGACACCCATAGGGAAAGGAGGAAAGAGATTTCCACATACTCAGGATATGAATATGTAGAGGCTGCCTGATTGGTGATTACTCAGATCACTGCACTCTGCCTTTTGGTTATCTCAGCTTGCTGTCAACGTGTTTGGGTGTGGAAACAATGGGCAACAAAAATGATTTCATCTTTCCATTTATCAGCTTTGCTTAAAGAAGGTCAGAGGGGAGGGGACTGTCATGAGGACTGAACACTGGAGAGGTAAAATGTCCTTGAGTATCTTTCGTTTGGATTTCCCAGAAGAGGAACAGTTTTTCTAAAGCAGTTTGAAATGACAAAAAGAAAAACAAAACTTTTGTTTTTAATGGTTATTTGGAATATCTGTGGGATATAGGTTTTTCCTCATAAAAAACCCTATGGTGCCTTTTATAGTCTACCTTATGTTAACTAAATTTTATTAATGATTACTTGAAAAACTTGTAAATGATTTTTAAAATGGTATGTATGTGTGAGTGTATTTATTTATGTGTGAGAGTTTTATTTATCTCTACCAATTTCATTATGGTATGAAACCTAACAAAATTTAGCCTCTGTTTTGGTTTAGTTTGGTTTTAAAATTATATTAGATATTCATAATTAAAAATATTTCTGTAGTCACAGATTTAGAAAGGGAGGTCTTGTCCCCCCCTCCTCCCATTTTACAGTTATTAGGAAAGCTGACATGAATTTTAGTAGTCTGCTCTGTAAATAAAATTGGCAAAGAAGTGTGTGTTAGTGATAGCTCTCCTCGTGCTGAGCTCTAAATAACTTAGAATGTTAACTTCCAGAGATATTGCCTTTTCTGAAACATTCTGTATGAAATACATTTCACTAATGCCTCAGGATTGTCTTAAATAGATTTTAAATATACTTCAGAAGTGACCCATCCTGTATAGCTATCTGAGCACCCTGGCTGGACCAGCAGACTTCGGTAGGGTGGGCTGGTTCTGGGGCTGTGGGCCTGGGCTAGGGCCATGGGGATGCAGTGTTGACTGCAGAGACCTGAGCAAGGTTGGCCTGTGGGACGTCCCTGAGGGCAAGTGCCGACCGGAGTCTGAGGGCACCGTGGAGAAGCCGGGAGGAGGAGCCTGGAGAGATCCCCTGGGGTGCTGGATTCGGGCACAAACACGAGGTCTTTTGATCAGATATCTAAAATGTCAGCCAGAGTTGAAAAAAAGCTGTTAGAAAGCCATTGGCTTGTACAGTGTGTCCCCATAGAACATTTTTTTGTCCTTGCCTTTTTTTTTTTTTTTTTTT